CAACTCTGTCTGTAATTGGTTCCTCTGTCTCAAAAAACTTCTTTGTCAAGCCTATATATCAAATGAAGACAGAGTAAGATAGTATGGACGCAAACATGTTTGTGCAATTCAAAACAACAGAAAAAAAACAACATTTTTTCAGGTGTTATCTTGGCAGTTAGAACACGAGTCCCAAAGGTGGCCTTGTGACTATACAGCTGCCAATTTAAATCCCTGGACTCCCCTCCACAACTTCTGTTGTAGCGCTGCAAAGCCAAAAATTGTGGCTTTACAAAAAAGCGTGCAGGCGCTGTGGGCAGTGCTTCATAGGGTTGTAAATCCCATGTTTCTTCTCGATGTGATATTCTATTGTTTCTTTAGACAGCAATATGATATTTGCTGATATTAATAAGTCTGCCATGACATGATTTCAATTCAATTCAATGAATGGCGCTAGGCTGCTAGCACTGTTTGAATGTTTAGGACAGGTCAGAAATGTTGACACAGATGCACCATGGGAATTTCAAAGTAAAGGTGTATCTTAAAGATGATGACGACATGTATTGATGTTTTTACTTTGCATGGATAATATTGGATTGTTGTTCATTGAATTGATATATCGATCCAGATCAATGTACTGTTACACCCGTAGTGTTTAAACAATTAGTTGAGTTAAATGACAGAAAATTAATAAACTTTTTAAAAAGATATTTAACATTGGAGCCCGTTATCCAACTTCTCAAATGTAAGGATTTGGTGTGTTTCTGTTTTTTTTTTCTTTTTTCTTAATCTCTTTAAATTGAATAAATCTGAATTTTAGACAAGCTATTTGAGATTTCACCTTAGGCTCAGAAAAAAAAGGCGATGGCGTACAACAAATGATGACTTTCATTATGGATTAATCCTTCATTTTTTCAATTGATCATTAAGTAATTTTAATTTAACACATTTTTAAACAGGTAAGTCCTGCTGAGACCTGGCCAAGACAGCAGCATAAGAAAAAGTTACAGCCAAGCAACAACCACATAAAAAGCATAAAAGATATACAGTAACATGTAGAAATATTACAACACCTACGCACAATGACAAGAACCAACCGAATCATTCACCCTTATACTTATGAGAGCTTTAAAATCAGGAAGAGAGACCAATTCACATAGTTTCAAAAATTTTAAAGACTATTCCAAGTGAGAGGAACAGAGCACATAAAAGCATATGTAATGATTTTTAAAAATGTCAACTGAAAGTACCTGGAGTCCAAGTGTCTTCAAAATCCCAAACTACTCAATTCAATATAATATAAAACAGTAAAAAGCAGCAAATCTTTACATTAAAGAGCTGAAACCAGTGAATTTTTGACAATTCATTAATTAATTGTCAGTATTTTTTACTGAATCATTTCCTCTTAAACAATCAGCACTAGATACATCATAGAGGGGAAAGCTCAGGTGTCAATAATAACATTAATGATGGCTGTATTCCATGTAGGCAAGCCAGTTTCAGATACCCAGTTTTGTGCATGTTGGCTCACTTGCATGGTGCACTGGGCCACGTAAATGGAATGGAGCCAAAATGTATGTTACTAGTCACATCTGTGGTTTTAACAAGTCAAAATGTCTGCCATGAAAGCAACCTTTAGAGCATAGATGCAAAAAGAGCAAACATGAAAACATAACTTTTACTGGTCAAATGATGGAACCAAAACAGGAATCACAATTAATTGAGTAATGCCACGCCTCAAAATGAGGTAACAATCTGTGTTGCGCAAGTATTTACATGCACGTAATCAAAAGCATATCTGAGAAGAACACAACTAGGCCTATGCTTCACTCACCACATCCTTCAAAAAAAAAAAAAAAAAAAAAAAAAAAATAAGCAAGGCTCATCCTAGAAACCAGTTTGAGACCAGTCTACTATGAATCTTCCCACTCCACCCACCACTCAATTTCTGTGATGGTTGACATAGTGTAGGCAACATTTCCAAAAAATCTCTATCCGCACAGTGTGTCAAATAGTGTTCATGTTGCCAAGAGCCTACATAAAGACACCTCAGTTTCCACGACAACAGTCTGGGATACATAAAAAAAGAGAAATACAGCAGAGTACACAGTACAGGCTCTTCAAAGTAACACAGGCACGAATGAAAACTCCTGCACTACAATAAAGCATTGTGTTTGTTTAAAGTTATAATGAAAAATGGCCATGTCTACAGCAAAACAACTGCTGCTGTGCTTCTGGTCAACAGCTGACCTCGTCCCCAGATAATCAACTCTGATGCCAAATAGCAATACTTTATCATAGCAGCAATGGCGTGCTTGAGTTGTGGATTTCCAGTGAAATACTGGCACTGAACTTAGCAGACAGTAATGGAGGCAATTATGACTAACACCGAGCAGCTTCTGCCTTCTTTAATGTCAACTGCTTGTGTGCCAGATTCAACTCTTAAAACTGAAACCAACACAAGTCACTGGATGAGGCTGGATGCTTGTGTCAAACCGTACAGCGCCATAATGCATGCACAGACAGTCCCCGGCTCCTGTCTTCTGTTTGAGTGCTCTTTGACTGTCCTCTGATCTCGTTTCCCTGGGGTTTAGTCAGCTGTTGGCACCTACAGGCCCGCTGCTGCTCACCACCGCATGGCTGCTGCCTGCAAGCAAAGCCCTGCTTCACAGTGACAGAGGGAACAGCCTGTGCACTGAGGGCTACTGATGGGGAACTACTTCCAACAGTTCTGGGCCTGTCTGTGTATGAGTGCATGAATGAGAGTGACAGTGTATCTGGAGATCTGTGTGTGTCAGACTCTGTGTGTGTGTGTGTGTGTGTGTGTGTGTGTGTGTGTGTGTGTGTGTGTGATGGTTGGGGTGGGCATGCATGGTCATAAATAGAATTGTCATTTGCTCAAGTCTATTTAAAGCCAATTGCCTGTCATTAATGTTCTGACTCCCTCACATCCAGTGAGTCAGTTTGTGCCACAATTGTTTTTGTCTTTTGTAAGAAAGAAAATGGTCTGATTTACAACAGGTCATAAGCCTCAAACTATGATGTAGGCCCACTATCACGTTACACACTGGTGTGATGATTGGTGTAACCTTAACCTCACTGTTTATTCCATGAATGAATGATTTCCCAGCACCATATATTACAGGCCTACTGCAGTAGGCTACAGGCCAAACAACACTCAAGTGACACTCAAATGTTACTGTGGTTGGATGAGATCCAAAGGCAGTCGCCTGACTCACCTTTTTCATAATACCAGTCTTCCTCTTGCTGAAAGTGGTGTACCGTCTCAACTTGTTGTCAATAAATTCCATCTTTATCTTTACGCGCCCACGTGTTTTCTTCCCCGGCTTTGCCCCGGCGACCCCTCCGGGCACCATGCCGTAACCTCCGGGAGGAATCCCCACCTCCTGCCCCGTCACCGCAGCCTCCATCTCCCCTCTCTCCCGCTTCACCCCTCTCCTGCTGTCCCCAAGTGAACCCACTGGGTCATCATCATCTCCGGAGTCCGAGTCATTATCCGAGCCGCTGCACAGAGGAGCACCCTCTCTGTCCGGGTCGAACCTGGCTCCGTGAGGCAACACAACTCCCGTGTTCAACCCCACCACCATGTTGCCCTGGACGGCGGTCTGTAGAGGGGTCACACCAGTCCCGTTCCCTGGTCTCGCGCCTCTCGGACCCCCTGGACCATTAGCCCCCAGCATCCCGACGGCGTCTCTTTCCCCCTGTCGCCCGGCAGCACCGGCACTCTCGCTGACCCCCGGTAAAGCTTGCCCTGCTCTGACCAAAACGGGACGGATCCCGACAACCCCCGAACCGTGTCCTGTGGTACCTCTGCCTGACGCTGACCCGTTTCCAGATGGTGCCGATCCAACCCGGCTCGGTAACATTCTATTTACTGAACCGGGTCTCTAAACACCAGCCAACAGAGCTGGAGCGCGTTGTCTCGTAAATGGCTGATACAACGCATACACGCCTGGGCCACACAATGTAAACAAACCAGACCGGTCGGTGGTTTGGAGACTCCAGGAAATTACCGAGACAAACTTTCGAAAGTGATGCTACCCCCAAGACCCTTCAACCCCGGCTCAGTTTGGTTCACCCTCCTCCTCTATTTCCAAAACTCTGAGCACTTTCTCAAAAAGGAAAACGCGAAGAGCGCCCTGGATGTCGAGCCGCCATGTCACGTAGTCCGCATTGCGAACCGAAAATAACCCTCGTGTCGGCCTGCTGGCGACCAAATACTCATTTTTACTCCATTAATACCGCGATATTTATCTCATCACGGCTCCATGACGCATAAAAATATCTCGTTTTTAAACAGCGTTTACGACAGCGGAGTGATATGACAACCCAGGAACTACTTCCCTCCTTATAAAGAGATACAATGTTTCCTTATTTGGTGCTGTCTCTCCTTATTTGGTGAGTCACAGCGTCGCCTATCGATTGGCTGAGGGTTATCTGAGTAGCGCTGTCATTGGTCAATGAGCCGCGCTTATTGGAATAAATACCAAAATGGTTGCGCTACCGACAACGTCACCGTGGACAGGCAGAGGCACCAAAATAACAAAGAATCCAACTTTTTATTCCCCACAGGTTGTGCTGTCATAGCACGAGACATGTTTTCCCAGAGTGTCCATGCCAAAATATCGCTTTATTGATCTGCACTGGCAGAAAGACTTAAAGGATTATGTCAGAGGAGTTGTTTTTAAGTGCAGATGAGAGTACAGTAGTTTAAATAAACTCTACATAAGGTCCCAAATTACTCTAATAATCACATGTATAGGTTCTTATTTTATATTTGCTCGTGCTTTGTATCTGCTTCCCCTAAAACATGGTGGAATATATACTCCTATCACACACTAATTACATTGGTCTGCATCACAACTGCTTCCTCAATAATTGCAACACCACTTCTCAGTGCTGGCAAGCTGAATAAGGTCTATGAGTGTCTGTAATTGGGCCACTGAACAACATGTTGCAGTATCACATACCTGCTGTAACCCTGCGTGGTTTTCACAATAGACCCTTCTCACATAAAAGCACAGGTGTGACTAATAACATTAACAATGGTTGTGCTCTATTAAAGCCTCTCAGTAAGTTATTATTTACACCTGTGTTTTTCCAATTGAGACATGTCCTCTGTGATGAAGGCCTATCACAGTAAAATCTGTCAAAAGGCACTTTAGTGTACTTATCTAAAGTTTGCTTATGTAGTGTTTGAAATGATGCAGTAAGCCCACCCATCTGGTGCTCCAGGCAGGTTAAAGCAAATGCCAAACATTATGGAATTTGATTTGTTGGCAAGATACTGAGAGATTTTCATTTAAATATGCAAGCTTTTACCACCATGAGAGCTCCTTAAGGTGCATATGCACTCAGGATAAAGGTGTCACAATATTATGAACCTCTTCAAGACTCAATTTGCCAAATAACTATGCAAAATTGAACACTGATTGACAAAAATACATCCATTTTAAAGGGGTTATGTAACTGTAACTGCATAATAAATTGGCTTTGAGGATATGGGAAACTCAAATATCAGCAGTGAACTGAAGATGCCTGTGGGCATCAAATCTAAATCAAATATAATGCTATGTTTATCACATCAAAGGAGCACTTTGCCACTAATCTAAGACAACACAAACTCATATGGGAATCCTCTTTTGCAGCTATAAAAGGCCATGCTAGCGTATTCAACTCTAAACATAATTATATGGAAAAAATATTTGGCAAGCTTTTAGGATCAGGTTTAAGAAGACCTACAGAAGAGATACACCTCCCTCTAGTGGTGAATAAGAGAACGTTTTGGATTGCAGTATGGGCTGACTATAGGTGCTGTTATAGGATGATACAGGTTGTTTTACATATTACAGCCCATCACATATAAACTCTATTTACTTTTTTACTATTCCTAACCCTATTCAGAAAGCGAAAGCAAAATTGTACTTACAGGCAGCTATTATTTACACAAACCCTGGAAGTCAGCTTGCAGAGACTCGTTTAGAGTGGGTGATCTAGCTGAGTGAACATTTCATCACCTTTATTATTTTTTACTAAACTCTATTTGGTGCAGTAATGCAGCTGCAAGTAGGAGCTGTCATGAAAACTCTTAAGCTGGCTTACAAGTAGCAACATTTTGAATGAAAGAGACTAACATTACAATTAGTTAACCATTACTTATCAGGCTACCACAGTGCACTTGGCTTGTTATTATGTTGTATTCCTGTTTTAGCTGCTGCACTATTTTATGTCCTAGACTTTAATTAGACTTCTTCACTGTAACTGTTGTGTAGATGACAATAAAAGAGCAGATTCCCATGATCCTTTTCACAGCTTTTTGGTGAAAGAATGACTGTGTTTCAGCACCTGAATACCTAATGTAGAGTTTCTTGTATACATTAAAGGGATAGAGCACCCAAAAATGAAAATTCAGCCATTATCTACTCACCCATATGCCGATGGAGGCTCAGGTGAAGTTTTAGAGTCCTCACATCCCTTGCGGAGATCCCAGGGGAGAGGAGGTAGCAGCACAACTCCACCTAATGCAGGCTGACAGCGCCCCAGATTCAAACATCCAAAAACACATAATTGAAACCACAAGGACACTTGGATCACTACGGACGAGCAGTATGGAGATATTTTGTGGTTTCAACTATGTGTTTTTTGACGTTTTAATATGGGGCGCCGTAAGTCTCCATTAGGTGGAGCTGTGCTGCTACCCACTCTCCCCTTGGATCTCCACAAGTGTTGTGAGGACTCTAAAACTTCACCTGAGCCTCCCTCGGCATATGGGTGAGTAGATAATGGCTGAATTTTCATTTTTGGGTGCACTATCCCTTTAACAAGGAAAAGTTGGAAGAATGGTCCCTGCATGCAACTGCATTGACACAGAAAACTGGACTAAAAAGCATGTAAAATGTAATTTATCTAAGGTACAGTATGCAGGATTGTTGGTTACTGTTTGCAAACACGCTCACCAGCCAAAGTGAAAGTAAGCCGCTAACATTTTATGAAGTCCCGCCCTCAACTCACCAGGCAGAAAATCCAGGCAGAGTCTCTGCAGATACATACAGCACCACACAACTCTAGTTGGTCATAGGTAATGATTGAGAGGGATTACTTCTGTATGAGTCTTTACATTTTTGTTTTTTTGGGGGGAAAATCCTTAGTATCTCTTTAACCAACTCAACAAAGTTTAAATTATGGAGGAAAAACCGATGTAGTTCTCAAAGCTGTGTTGCTATCTACAGTATTATTATTAATCACAACACATTGGGTAAAAACACTGTGAACCTTTATTGACAGCAGCATGTATACTTTTGTATATATCTGTGATTACTGTGAACATTTGCTGAAGCAGATTAAAAAAAGAGGTCTAGGTGTGAGTGCCTAGCATTCATAAAAACAAAACATTACACTAAAAACAACGTATAAAAACAAGTTCATAAACAAAGGCCATTGCATTTGATTAGATAATGTAAAAAAAGAGGGAAACAGTTAAGATAATCCTTCATTTACCAGGCACTTAAATGAGTACTGGTGACCAGCAGTCACTCTTTTGACCTCCTTTGTACTTTGTGTTAGCGTATCCAGCTGCTTACCAGACTGAACGCACGTTGAGATGGACCGTGAGAATGAATACATCGCATCAGAGAAGTACCTTTCTATTATAAACATAGTTAAAAAAAGACAGGACCTTCATCATAAATAAACAGGCACCTGCATGTCCTACTACACAACATGATAGAGATAAAGAGGGATATTCTTTTAAGTGAAGTTAGTGCATGGCTTCTACATTATGTACACATTGCCTGGTGTGATGGTCCACTCTGCAGCATTGCACAAAACATCTGGACCCGAAGGGAAACTGTGATTGGACCTCTGAAGAAATGATGTCGCGGGTTGAACACAGTGATAGGCTGCATGCCTGCAACATGATAATGTGGTACAATGGGTGTTGTCACCCATAGCTCGTGACAAATAAGCACCTCAAAGTTAATACAAGAACAGAACACACTCATAAAAACGTACAAAGCCCACACTGGCACAATCTCATCTATTCAATATAATCCTTGGCGATAAACATGATCTTCTTTTTTTTTTTTTATGTTCCTGAAGTGTTATCATAACACGGATTACTTTTTCCACAAGTTTCCTCATGTTGCAAATCACAAGCGTAACAGAGGACGAACCTTCATGCAAACCCCATTCCACTTCTTCTTCGAAACGTAAGCTGTAGCGTGGGAACAGTTCAGTGGCACACACACTCTTTGGAGGATGGTGGTGTGTACCTGGTGGACAGAGTAGTGTCTCCTCTTAGATTAGGGTGGTGGCCTCAGGATGCAGCTGACTGGATTTTAAGTTCAAGCAGACCAGTTGAAACGATATCACTCAACACACTCCGAAGTGGCTGAAGCTTCAGTGCTCCGCTGACATTATATCCCACATTCCCTTCCCTTCAATATTCTTTCTGACTTGACGGAGCAGTGAACCTAAAATTCCGGGGGGGGGGTTTCTTCCTAAGCTTCAGACCAATCATCTCTATTGATCTGAGCCAGTGAGAGCACCGTAACGTACTACAGGGCAGTCAAAGGTCTGGGTGAGTGTGGGTGTGGAGGGGTAGAGGCACTGAGGTTGTGAGGCTCCGTGAAGCAAAGTGTCTCTGGGACAGAGCGGCCGCAGACGGGCAGGCAGGGTCACAGTGGAACCACAGACAGGAAGTTGACGGGAGGGTCATCCATGCTGCGGTTAAGGCAAACATAAACTCCTGGCACTGCTCACAAGAAGCCATTCACACAAACGTGAGTGCGTTTCCATTGATATAGCAAAGAAGTCTGATCCACACACACCCGCTGTTTGAAATGCATATACAAAAGTGTTTTTCTCCTCAACCCTCTTCCCTGAAATGTGTGAGACTAATAATCCAGCATTCCTGTCTTTATTTTTGGGGGAAGGGGGGTTGGTCAAAGTTCCCCTCTGATGTGGGGTTACGGTCGTCTCAGACTTTGCTGTCAGAGGGCAGCTCTCCCAGGGTGTGGACGATTTCAGTGAAAGAGGGGCGCTCTTTGAGGCTCAGTGCCCAGCAGCGGGTCATGAGCTTGTAGATTTTGG